TCCTCCGCTCTGCGCTCTTCCAGGGGCCGCCCTGGCTGCTGGTCCCTGGACTCATGGGCCTTCACGGCCGCCTTGCCTGGCGCAGAGCTGTGGCCTAACCCCTCGCCACGCTGGGGTGCATTGCGGCCTAGCCCCTCGCCGCGCAGGGGTCCTCCGTGGCCTAACCCCTCGCCACGCTGGGGCCTGCTGCAGTCTGGCCCCTCGCCGCGCTGGGGTGCTCCGTGGTGGCCTAACCCCTCGCCACGCAGGGGTCTGTTGCGGTCTAACCCCTCACCGCGCTGGGGTCCGCCGTGGCCTGACCCCTCGCCACACTGGGGGTCGGTGCGGTCTAACCCCTCACCGCGCTGGGGAAACTCGTGGCCTAACCCCTCGCCACGCTGGGGGCTGCTGCGGTCTAACCCCTCACCGCGCTGGGGTGATCCGTGGCCTAACCCCTCGCCACGCAGGGGCCTATTGCGGTCTAACCCCTCACCGCGCTGGGGTCCCATGTGGCCTAACCCCTCGCCACGCAGGGGCCTGCTGCGGTCTAACCCCTCACCACTATGGGGTCCGCCGTGGCCTAACCCCTCGCCGCGCTGGGGATCGTTGCGGTCTAACCCCTCACCGCGCTGGGGTACTCCGTGGCCTAACCCCTCGCCACGCTGGGGCCTGCTGCGGTCTAACCCCTCACCGCGCGGGGGTACGCCGAGCCTCGCACTGTCCCCGTCCTCGGTGCTGCTGCCCACTGGCTCGGGCGAGGTCCCCCGACTTTGCCACTCGCTGTGTTCGCGGTTCACGTGGTATCCGCGGGCCGAGCCCGCCTCCTCGCGTTCAGTCTGTCGGTTTCCCAGGGTATGGGTCCGCTCTGTTAGTTGCGAGGTCCTGTCTACCACACTGTTGGTCAAAAGGTCCGCGTCATGCTCACTGGGCACGTCAGGGGCCTCCGCCTCAAGCCTCTGCTTGCCTTTGGCCCTGCGGTCTACCCCCTCACCGCGCAGGGGATTGCCGTGGCCTAACCCCTCGCCACGCAGGGGTACCTTGCGGTCTAACCCCTCACCGCGCTGGGGAAAGTCACCGAAAATATTATCCAAGTCCCGCTGCAGGTCTGTGTCGTCGTAGTCTGCCGCCTTCTCGGGCTGCGCTGTTTTGTGGCCTAACCCCTCGCCACGCGGGGGAGCGCCGAGTCTCGCACTGTCCCCATCCTCGGTGCTACTGCCCACTGGCTCAGGCGAGGTCCCCCGACTATGCCACTCGCTGTGTTCGCGGTTCACGTGGTATCCGCGGGCCAAGCCCTCCCCCTCGCGTTCAGTCTGTCGGTTTCCCAGGGTATGGGTCCGCTCTGTTAGTAGCGAGGTCCTGTCTACCACACTGTTGGTCAAGCCGTCCGCGTCATGCTCACTTGGCTCGTCAGGGACCTCCGCCTCGAGCCTCTGCTTGCCTTTGGTTATGCGGTCTAACCCCTCACCGCGCTGGGGTCCTCCGTGGCCTAACCCCTCGCCACGCTGGGGTCCTCTGCGGTCTGCCAGGTGGTACCCTATGCTGTGCTGTACGTCTGGGAACTGCTGGTGGTTGTCATCGCTGTCTTGCTTGTCTACGGGCTGCTGGGGGCAATCCTCGCTGTTCTCCTCGTCAGAGAAGTGGTCGAGGTCTGCCATGTCCTTGGTGCTGCGTCCTGCTGGTGGGGGACGGGCACCCCTCTGCATCCCGTCTGGCGCAGGGCTGTGGCCTAACCCCTCGCCACGCTGGGGTCCTAGGCGGCCTATCCCCTCGCCGCGCAGGGGTCCTTGGTGGCCTGTCCCCTCTCCGCACAGGGGCCTGCTAGAGGGTTTCTGCTGCTCCTCCGCCCTTCCCGCCTCCAGGGACCGCTCTGGCTGCGGTACCCTGGGTTCCCTGGGTCTCTCGGGCTCGGGCGTTGGCGTTTCCGTTCGCAGCTCGGCGGGGTTGCTGGTGTCCCTGGCCTCTGGGTTCCTCCTCGGCTGTCTGGCTGGAGCCCTGCTTGGCAATCGCCCTGCTGCTTGCGGTCGCGGGCTGCGGCTCCTCACCTCTGGCTCAGTCACGCCCAGGAACTGCTCAGCCGTTGCTCTGCGCCGCTCTGCCTCCTTCGGGTCCTGCTGCTGGATCTGCCTGCGCGCCTCTCCGCTGTTGAGCCATGCCAGGCGGCAGATCTCCTCCGCCGCTCGGCGCTGGCTGCGCTGGCGGCTCGGCCCTGACACGTAGCTGAAAAGCCTCTGGTAGACGCCAGTCTGCAGCGCCCTCAGCACATGGGGCACGCACGCGGCCTGCCACGATGGCCAGCCCTGCTCGCCCTCTTTCTGGCTCCACCAACAGCCTGCCAGCGACTGCATGAGCTGCTCGAGCCTGTTCCTCTCGAGCCACGCCACCTCCTGCTCGGGGTCCTGGTCAGCTTCTCCTTTGTTGTGTCGAAGCCTTGGGTGGAGCAGGCCAGCCTCGTCTGCTTCGCTCACGAACTTCATCAGGTCGGGCCCCACTGGCTTGGTCAGCGTTACTGCCACCTGGACAGCCGTCTGCATCAGGCTGTTGGCGTCGTGCCTCTGATCAGGTCCCGCCATGGTCTCCATCTCCTGGCTGCTCGGCTCACCCTCCAGCTCTGGGGCTTCACTGTCTGGGGTCGAGTCATCATCGTCCAGGTTCTCTGGTGACCACTCTCGGCTGGCCTCCGCTGTTCTCGGCAGCGGCCTGCGCTCGCTGCTGGGGATGCTGTGCGCTAGGATGTTGTTCCTTCTGTTCTGGAAGGCGTCCATGTGCACTCTTGCTGCCTGTTGCCTAGTACCATACGGGAGGGTGAGCATCCTGGTCATGAGCCTCCGTCGCGTGCGGTGCGTGTTGCGCCAGACTTCTTCGCAGAAGTCCTTGATCTGCTGGAGCTCCTGCACGGTGACGGCCCTGGTCTGCTCTTGCGTGTCCGTTCCGCCACCCACATTGGTGATGGCCAGGAGGTGCGGTACGCAGTGCTCCATCCAGTCGTCCATATCGTCCCAGACCTCTTGGTCGACAATGTTCATCCACTGCTCCGCGTAGCCCTCCATGTGGTCCACGAGCCTCCAGCTGGCGTGGACGACAGAGTGCGGATGGCTGGGTGGCTGCTGCGGAGCTGGCTGCGGGTCCCCTGCCTCTGAGCTGTCCCCGTCCAGGTCGATCGCCTCGTGGTTGCTCAGGCCGAGCTTGAAATCTCCAGGCATGGTGATCCCGTCGAGACCCTCATCAGCTGGGTCTGCTGCTGGCTTAGCTCCTCTTGGCAGCTTGCCCCTCTGCATGTCCTCCAAGACCCGCCGCCCTGCTGCTGTTGGGGGCTGACATGGCCTTGCCAGCTTCCTTGCCACTCCTGCCACGATCCTGCTCTTGTGGTCCCCAAGGTAGCTGGTGCCGCCACATTTCTCGCACCAGAGCCAGCCATGGGTGAACTGCGTCTTGTGGGAGACGTGCACCAACTGCGTGCCGATCTGCACCGCCTTGAAGTCGAGCCTGACGTTGCCGTGCTGGTCCTGGTGGCCGCCGTACTTCCCGAGGCATTTTCCCGTCTCTGCCAGCCAGTCTCTGATGCTTTGTCCTTTGGCTGGGCCACTGCGACACGTTGCACACCATCATCGTGGATGTAGCTTGCGCAAGTCGTGTCTCAGCTGGGCTGCCCTGTCCCTCGCCGTCTGCGGCTTTCGGCGCTTGGCCTTGGGACGCTGAGGGGCCTTGTTTGGGTCCTCCACCGTCACCGCCATGTTGATGGCCAGCAGCCGGTTTTGCACCGCCATGGCGATCTGGTCCCTGATCTGCTGCTGCGCGATGATGGCTGGATCCAGTGCTCCGTGCTCCGCTCCCCAGCCTGCGTACTTGTCTGCCATCTCGTTTCCTGTGACCCACCAGGTGGGACCATTCCACCTCTCCAGCTCGGCTGGGTGCTCAATCAGGTGGCTCGGGATGTGGTGGCCCATGATGGTGTCCGTGCTGTTCTGCAGCTGCTGCTTCGTCTGGAGCCAGAGGTCGTAGTTCGTGCTCCTGTAGTCCAGATCCTCAGGGTCCTGGATCTGCTTGAGTGCGTCCAGGGCGTATTTGCAATCGCTGACTATGTTGAGCCCCCTGGCTCTCGCCGCCGTGGTGTACCCGATGGCTTTGCTCATGGCGGTGAGCTCTGCCCGTGGCACCGTGTGCGGTGCCCTGATCGTGCCGTACCAGGCAGCCACTTCCTGCGGACGTCCTTGTTCGTCGAACCTGAACGCAACCACTGCCCAGCCGCAGCGTCTGAGGCGGGGGTCCTTGGCCGTTTCCCCTGCACCACCTGAGCCGTCCGTGAATACATAGTCTGCTCGAACCTTGTGCCCTGACTGGGCTGCAGCCTGAGCCTCTTCGCTGGTGCAGAAGATCTGCGCCGCCTTCGCCGCGTCCTCGTCTGGGTCGACCTTGGCTGCCCAGGCCGCTGGCGGGATGCCTCGGAGCCAGAAATGCAGGTCCTGCCGCTGGTCCAGCGCGTCCTTCGCCTTCTTCGCCAGGTCGGTGTCACTGCTGTGCCCTATCTCTGCGTTGGCAGGGCATGCGTAGTAGCGGTGTTCCTCTGTCTCTATCGCCTCGCCGCATCTCGCGCAGGTGTCATCGCCTTCTTGGTTGAGGTTGGCCGCCCTGCGACGCCCCCTGGTCCAGATGCCCGCCACCGCTATGGTCTCCAGCATGGCTGCCTCTGCATGCTGTCCTTTGCGCCTCCTCCTCCCCAGGTGGCGCTGCAGCTGATAGAGGTCGCCTCCAGCCTGAAGTCCTTCTCCACTGCGATGGCCAGCTGCCTGCTGCCAGAGCTGCTGCTGCACGCTCTGCTGGACTTCATGCAGGAGCGCGCCGAAGTGAGGCATGTCATCTGGCTTGTAGGCCCACTCGTCACCTGCTGGGCTGATCCAGCTGTCCAGGCGTCGCGGTACCCAGCCTAGCCCAAGCAGCTGCGCGATGACCCCTGCCATGGGCCCCTTGACCTGCTGCCACCTGCGGTTGGGTTCCAGGGCGCCCAGCTTGGCGTAGAGCAGGAGTCAGCCTCTCTGGTACCCCTTGAGCTCCGTCGGGTGGTCGACTATGGCGAGCCAGAACTGCTTGATCTGGTCGCCGATGGCTCGGGTTACTGCCTCTTGCATTCCCCTCTGGATCAGGAGGATGGTGGACGTGCAGCGTCCAGCCTTGTGTCCGCCTGTGAGGAGCGCTGCCTCCGTAGCCCTGACCGACTTCGCCTCCGTGGGCGTGATACCGTGCGCTGGTAAGTCCCAGGCCTGCTGGCAGTAGGCACCTGCTGAATAGACCTTTGCCGCGCCCCTGGCGTCCGTCTTCACTAAGTCCCTGAACTTGGCCACCCTCTGCTTGGCCTTGGCCTGGCGCGCAGCATGGGTGGGTCGCCGCAGCTGCTTGCCAAGGCTGGTGCCCACTCCGAGGTCGCGCACTACACCTGGTTGCTTGTTGGGGGTGCCCAGGCTGTCCAGGATGCTGGCGACTTTTGCCTGGAGGTCCTTGTCCGAGGCCACCACTGCCGTCTTGATTGAGATGGGTATCGCGAGCTGCTTGAATCCATCGTGCACCAGCGCTGCCACGTGCTTGATCTGGCCGATGACCTGCCGCCGCGCACCCTCTACCTGCAGGGCCAAGTCGTCCAGGTACTGCTGCATGACGACGAAGATGTGGTGCCTGTGCGCTGCATCCAGGATGCCATACCAAAAGCGGTCTGGTGAGGTCTACCGCTTGGCCACAGCCCGCTACCATGCTGTTGGCAGGCTCGAAGATGTCCGAGAAGAGGCTGTGGGCCATGATGGCCCTGGGCGCAAGGTACATCTGCACGGCCATTGCCAGCGGCAGCAACGGGTACTGGAGGGCGCTGGCCTTCTCGATCAGCTGGTCGAGGCCTATGTTGTCATAGAAGTTTGCCGCGTCGTAGAACACGCCTGCTGCATGAAAGCCCATCTCCCTGGCGGCTTCTGCCCTCATCAGTCTGTGCATTGCCACTCGTAGCGCTGAGGAGCCAGCTACTGCCGTAGCCCAGAAGCCAGCCGCTGCCTTGCTCCAGGTGGCTACTATGGGCCTCCTGGCTGCGCTCCAGATGCGGTACGGCATGGGCATGAGGCCGATGGGGCGCTCTCCGCCGATTCCTGGCTTCTTACCCAGCAGCAGCTCCAGCACCAAGTAGAATTGCCACGGCCACGCTGCCCGTTGCTCACAGCTGGTCAGGCACTGCACGAAGTCTTCCAGCCCCTGGGCGCCCATGGCATTGAGCTCTGGAGCCCTCCACCAGTCCGCTCCTTGGCCAGCATTGCGCTTCAGGTGCTGGATGATGGAGCCTATGATGTCCTTGCTGATGGGCTCGAGGGCATTTTGCTGGGCCAAGGCAGCCTGCCTCAGCTTGGCCAGCGCCTCTTGGATCCTCTCGGCCTTCTGTGCATCTCGTGTCCACCTGCGTTGCCATGCTTCTTTGCGCAAGTCCACCAGCTGCTGCGGGTGGTTGATGACCTGGCCCTCGTGCTCTAGGATGTCCTCCAGGTGGCTGCGCTCCGCTGCTTTGGTGTAGGCGTGGGCCATCTTCGCACTGCCTGCCGTGGCGTCGTGCACCCAGTGGATGTACGCCTTCTTCACCGCCTTTGTGAGTAGCTTGGCCATGCTCTTTACCTCCTCTGCTACCCTGCTGATTGTCCCTGGGTCCACGAGGGCGCCCTCTGCTATCGCGTGCAGGTATGCGAGGAGGGCCTGCTGCTGGTCCTTGGCTGCACCTTCTTCATTCAGCCTGCCTGGGTCTGGCTGGTTGAGCTGCTGCGCGAGCTGCCGTCTTGTGTTGATCTGCTGCTGCGTCTGGTGGCCACTGTGGGTGCGGACCTGCAGCTCTCGGCGGCTGCTCTGGTCACTGCCTGTTCCTGGAGCATCATGTAGTTGTCTTCGCACTGCTCCTTCTGGTGCTCGTTCGCCTATAACTTCTCGCATAAACCTCCGCAGGTTTGCGAGCTCCCTCCAATGCATCATTTCCAATTCGTGCCTCCTCGTCGGCTCCTCTCGCGTAAGACCTTGGAGAAAGCCTCGGCGTCGTGGTTCTGCATGTCTCCATGCTCGCTCGCAGAGGTCCCTGATGATGTGGCTGAGGCCGGCCTGCTGGTACCTACGCCTGAGCAGTCTCACCATGCCATTGTTGCCTCCGCCACCCAAGATGGTCTCCAGGAACGGCACACAGATCTGCATCCAGTTGCTGTTGTCCGTGGGGAGCTGCACCAAGTTATCCATCCAGATGGCCGCCCAGTACTCCAGGTCGTCTCTCATGGCCACGTAGTCTTCCCGCTCCCGCTGGTGCTGGTCATCATTCCAGGGGTCTGGTGGGGGCAGGCCCATATCTCGTTGCTCCTCTGCCTCTGGGCCTGGCGGCGCTTGGTTCTGACTCCCCAGGTGATCGGTACCCTCTGCCTCCAGAGTGCCTGCTGGCAGAGGAGGTGAGCAGTGCGTGTCACCTGGGGCAGTTTCACCAGATCCAGCTGCATGACGACGAGCGGTCTGGCCGTAGCCGATGGTGTCCTGCTGCCCCTCGATGCGCTGGTGGTACCCATCGCAGTCCTCCTGATCTGCGGTCTCCTGGCGGTACTGCAAGCAGTCCTCCTCCTCCTCGAAGGGGTCGTGGTCTTGGACGTTCATGGTGCTGCGTCCTGCTGGTGGGGGAAATGCAGGTCCAGCTGCACGACGGCGAACGGTCTGGCTGAGCTCGAGGCTGGCCTGCTGCCCCTCGATGTGCTGGTGGTACCCATCGCTGTTCTCCTGGTCAGCGATCTCCTGGCGGTACTCCAAGTAGTCCTCCTCATCCTCGAAGGGGTCGTGATCTTGGATGTCCATGGTGTTGCGTCCTGCTGGTGGGGGAAGGGCACCCCTCTGCATCCCTTCTGGGCAGCTGTCTGCGCTGCTGTGGGTTGGTCCCACGTCGAGGTCTGGGACGCGCCCCGTGGCGGCGCACTCGGGGGACGGGAACCCCTGACCCATCTCAGAGCTGGGGCCAGCTGCCTTCCCATGGTCCGCTGCGCTCGCCTGTGTGGGGAATGGGTACCCCGAGGAGTGTGCGGAGGGGCCTACCTCTTTCTCTGGGCCTGGCCGCCTCGCCCTCATCTCTTGTAAAGCTGTACCCGTCTCGGAGGTCCAGGACGCGTCCTTTGGCGGCGAAGCTGGGCTGGGGCAGGGTCGCTCTGGGCTCTCTTGGGCTGGCCCCTCTGCGAGCTCCTGGACCTCAGCCTGTGGAGGGGGGGCCTCCTCAGGCGCTGGCTGATTCGCGATGCCCTTGGTGCTACTGCCGCCGCCTCCTGCTGCGCCTCCACTGCCTGCACTCCGCTGCTGCAGCTCGGGGGGGCCCTCACCCCGCTCGGTGGGGGCGCGATCCACCGAGCTTCCTCCCGAGCTCTTCGATGGGCTCATGGCTGGTGCGGGGACCCCGTCTTCATGGCCTACCTGGCTGCCAGACATGACGGGGCCAGGCTCCGGCTCCGACGGAACCTGTCCTCCTCCCGAGTCCTCATCGGGAAGTGCATGGGTCTTGCCCTGTCGACTTGCTGCTGCCTCCTGCGCTCGGGCATCATGGTGCGAGAGCTGCCGCACCAGGGAGGAGATCTCCGCCCACCACGCATGGATATTCCTTTCGACCCCTGCCCATGGCGTAGAGGTGACGGTGTCCTTGATGCTCACGCTCTTGTAGCTCGGGGGCCTGCTGCACCCGAGATGTCGTCCTCGCTCTTCCTCTGGGGTGCCGATGCTCTCGCACAGGCTGAGCTCGAGGGTGCTTGCGAAGCGGTCGTACTGTTGCCCCAGGTCCAGCATGTCCCGCTCCATCATCTTGCCGACGACAGTGTGCTGCAAGTGCTGGGGCAACTCGTCGTAGGCACGCAAGCTGACCCGCTTGGAGGTGGCCTGCCACAGCTCGTCGGGGATGACGTGCTGGACCTCCTTGTCGTAGTACAGATGCGGCACTGGCCCCATGTCGTTCTCATCCAGGTCGCATCCTGCCTCTGTCAACGCTTGCTGACGTCGACGCATGGCCTCCTGGCCTCCACGCGCCGCTCGTCTGCAAGCGGCTCTGGACTTCGGCATTCTCTCAACTGCGACTGGCGGCTTTATGGCTGCTGGCCTGCGAAGTACCCTGCCCTTGAGCATGAGTGGCCGCCCCTTCAACTTCAAGCGGATGCCGATGTGCGGCTTCCACGGCACGGTCCTGAGCAGCTCTAGCTGGTCAAAATACGGCGCCAGGCCCTGCGAGATCAGCGCGAAATCGATGCACCTGGCTTCACCTCCTGCTGGGAAACATGTGGGGGCGCCATCCTCCGCCGCAGCTACTTGAGCATTCAGCACCCTGGGCCACATGCTGTTGTTGAACTCCGACGGCGTCATGTTGAAGTCCCCAAGCGCTGCCCATGGCCCTCCCCAGACAGCCATCTTCTCCCGCAGGTCGCAGAGGATGTCGACGTTCCTCTCCCCAAAGCCCGCCCCGCACTCGAGGTAGACGAAAGCCACTGCGAAACGGACCTTGCGCAGGTTGGAGATCACCACCGTGACGTCACTGCCGTCCTCGTGCAGGTAGTGCTCGTCGAAACCCGCGATCCTGTCCTGGATGTCCAAGGATCCTCGCGTGATGGCACACGTTCCCCCTCGAGTGCCTTCTCCTTCTCCTGGCCGTGCCTTGGTCCAGTAGCTGTGCATGCCATTCCTCCTGAGCGCCGCTCTTGCCTTGCTTATCTGCGCAGGCTGGCGGAGGTGGTGCTCCGCGATGCCAATGATGCCCCTGTCCTTGGCATCGTTGATCTCCATGAGGTAGCCCTGTGCCTGGGGGGCCCAGGTCGTGACATTGAAGAAGTCGATGTGGCGAGGGCGGCGAACCTTCTTCGCGCTCGCCTTGGGGCGGCTACCCTGCTGAGTGGTCACCTTGCCCTTCTGCGTCGACGACTGTCTCGGCGCGCCTGGCCTGCGAGACCTTCTCTCGCGCCTCCTGGATATGGGCCTCCACTCTGGCTCGGCGTTCTTCAGCTTTGTCATGTTCTGCTGCGCCTGCTTCTGGTTGGGCAGCTGCTGCGGCGCCGCTGGGCGCTGCCGCGGCGGCTGACCCAGCCGCCTCAGCGCACGTGGGGGCACCTCGCTGAGGGGCTGGGCTGGCAGCGCAGACACGCTTGCCTGGTGGGGCTTCTGCTGCTTCTGGGTCTTGTTCTCCGCTCTTTGACAGGCGCTTGGTGCGGGCCTGCTCGAGCTGGCGCAGCTGCTCCTGGTGCCTGGCCGTCTCTTCCTCCAGAAGTCGCAGGTGCTTCGCAGTCTCCTCCTCGTGCTCCTTGACTGTCTGGGCCATGCGCTCGCCCTTGGCCTTTGCAGCTCGCCAGACCACCTTGTCGGGCTCGGACCACTTGTGGAAGTCGTCAGGCTCATGCTCGAACTGCTCCAGGAGGGCTGCCAGCGTTGGTTTCTCGGCTGCAGGTTCGGCTGGTGCCTCTTGCTTGCCGACTGTGGCCTTGAGCTTGTCGAACTCATCTTCGGCTGCAATGGAGGCTCCCATAGCTTCACGAAGCTTGCGTTCACTCTCAGCCAAGTACTGCTGGGCACTCTCCACTTGCTCCCCTGCCGATCGTACCTTCTTCTGGAGTTTGTCCAAGCGTCGAGCTGCTGCCTCCACTGCCTTGAATCCAACAACTGGTTGTTCTGCTGGTGGCTTGGCTGCGGCGAGCTCTGGCCAGAGGGCCTCATTGTGCTGCCTGTGCGGGTCGTCCTTGCTGAGCTTGCTGTATGCTGCTGCGGCGGCGGCCTTGAGATCGACGGTCTTGTCGTGAGGTGGCGGCTGGCGTTGGCCTCCTTGCCCTTTCCCGCCTGCACCACCTCCTGGCTGCCAACCATCTGCCCAGCTGATCCTGGGCGAGGTTCCTCCTTGGGGCTGTGCTGCCAGCCACCCACCATCCTCGTCACGGAAGACATGTCCGTCAGGGACGAGGCAGGCGAGATTCTTGCCGCAGATGCAGAGGTCGCCCCTGCTGGTGATATTCTTGCAGTAGCGCCATCTGCTGCACCCGTCACACACCACGTAGCTGCTGCGAAGAGGGCGACTGCCACTGCTGCTCCTCTTCCACGGGGGCACCCTCTGGCGATTCGGGGTCCCCGACCAGGCGCTGCCCGCCCCGCGTCCGCCGCCGCCACTCCCCATGGCTGCAGCAGTGCCGCGCGCGCGCCCGACGCCCGTCTGGGAACTGTCCTCGGTCCAGAGGTCTCCCTTCGGCCTGGAGGCTGGACAGCCCCCCAGGTCGCCATCTTGAGCCAAAATGGTTTGAGCCAAAATGGCTACGGGGAGGAGGAGGAGGAGGAGGAGGAGGAGGAGGAGGAGGAGGAGGAGGAGGAGGAGGAGGAGGAGGAGGAGGAGGAGGAAAAGGAGGATTCTGAGGACTCTGATGATACGGACCCACTCCAGGGGTCCCTGCCGCGCAGGGCAAGCGGCCCCGCGCGTCCCGAGGGGGTCAACACCGGCCCAGGACGGAGCGAGAAGCGGAGGCCGCCGGAGGCCCCCCAAAGGGCCAAGGGAGGGCCCACCAAGGGCCGAAAACCGGAAACCCCGAGGACGACCCAGGGAACCCAGCCGCGCCTTCAAGGCCCCCAATGGGGCCTCGACAGCGCGGAGAAAGGCAGGTGCCAACCCCCTCGCCTAAGTGAGGAAAACATCACCACACGTCGAGCCAGCACAGGGCAGGCGGCCCCGCGCTAATCGAGGCAGGTGCTCACCCACTCCTCTTTCAAGTGCATCTTGGCCCACTCGACTCCAAAGCGCTTCACGGCCTCCGCGACGGCCGCCTCGGTGGACAGGTGATCGTACATGTCATGCTTGTGTCCTTCGTCCTGCCTGCCAACGTCGCCGCACGCGCTGGGCTTCTCTGAGCCCGCCTGCACAGCCTTCTGCAAAGCACCGCGATCGTGGTAACGCCACTGCTTGCCGTCGTCGCCGAACTCGATTACCTGCTCCGCGCTCGCCAGCGCAGCCTTGACGACAAGGTTGGGGAACGGTGGAATCTCCTTCAGTTCGCCCCCGCCCTCCACGAACGGGCTGAACGAGTTCTTGACCTCCACCCCGAACTCGCACACCTCGTCATCGCCGCTCTCATCCTCCATCTTGCCAGCCATGCTGCAGACAGGAGCCTCCAACGAGCTATCCGCAGCCACCGCCGCATCGGTCATCTCCGACTCTCCGAAGATCTTCCCAGTAGCTCCAACCTCACAGCCGCCGATGCCGCCGCCGCCGCCTATGCCAGCTGCAGTCACCGCCTCGCCATCAAACTCCGTCTCCTCCAAGGTCTTCCCTGCAGCTCCGACCTCACAGCCGCCAATGCCGCCGCCGCCGATGCCTGTTGCCGTCACCGCCTCGCCGTTCATCTCCGTCTCATCGAAGACCTTCCCAGTAGCTCCGACCTCAACGCTGCCGATGCCGCCTCCGCCGCCTACGCCAGCTGCCGTCACCGCCTCGCCGTCCAACTCCGTCTCCTCCAAGATCTTCCCCCCAGCTCCCCAGCTCCGACCTCACAGCCGCCAATGCCGCCGCCGCCGATGCCTGCTGCCGTCACCGCCTCGCCATTCATCCACGTATCCCCGAAGATGTTCCCCGTAGCTCCGACTTCACAGCCGCCGATGCTGCCGCCGCCGATGCCTGCTGCCGTCTCCTCATCCTCCTCATCCTGTTCCTGGCCCAGGTTCAGCTCGATGTCACTCGTCAGGGACAGCTGGTGGCCCATGAAGTCGAACACCTTGACCACCTTCCTGCCCCTGCGCACTCCGATGAAGTAGCTCCCATCCGGCACCCCGAACGAGGTCAATACTTCCAACTGGTCCTTGCTGATCTCCGCCTGGTACGCGGAGCCCTTGTCGCCGCCGTCCTCGTACCACTCGCGGAGCTCGTCCATGGTGCAGTCCTCACCGTCGGAGTCGCTGTTCAGTTGACCTCCGTAGGTGGCGAAATGCACGACCTCTTGCTCTTCTTGTCCTTCTTGTCCTTCTTGTCCTTTTCCCTTTTGTCCTTCTTGGGCTTCTGGTCCAGCACGGGGGGGTTGGGGCGGGCGCCCATCCAGCAATCCGGAGGCTGCCGCCCTCGCCCGTGTGACCTGCTTCTCGAGCGCCGCGAGCTCGGCTCCACCACAGCCGTCAGCCTCGCACGACGCGGAGACGGTGTGGCGTCCCAGACGCCAGGCGGGGGCTCGATCACCGCCTCCTCGCCCTCCTTCGCCTGGTCCTCGATGGCCAGAAGCTGTGCCGACAGAGACATTGTCGGCCTTGCCCTTGGCCGTGGCCTCTCCGGAATGGCTTGGGCCTGCAGGGCCGCCTGCAAACCCGCCGCCACTGCCGCCTGCACAGCCGCGCTCACGATCACGGCGCGCTCTGCCTGGGCAGCTGCTGCGCGTCGCCTCCACGGCGCTGCCGCGGCGAGGACGAGGAGGAGGAGAAGGAGGAGGAGGAGGAGGAGGAGGAGGAGGAGGATTCTGCTGGATTCTGCTGGCCTGACCTCCGAAGATGCGAAACACGCACAACGGCAGCGAAAACGAGCCTGCCGCCTACCCCCAGGCCTGACTCCTGATGCGCACGCGGCCGAAACATCGACCACGCGCTCCGCGCGCCGCCGCAAGTCCCTCCCACCTCCGCCAGTCCTGCGGCCTGGTCTCCGGCTCTACTTATACCCCGCCGATCCAGGCGGCACCGACCGCCCCACTGGCTCCGGGGGGTGCCCCGGCTATCCCCGAGTCGATGACAGGGCCCCTGCTATACAAGCAGGGGGGGGCCAGGAGGACGAAGAGGGGGAGGAGGAGGAGGAGGAGGAGGAAGAGGAGGAGGAGGAGGAGGAGGAGGAGGAGGAGGAGGAGGAGCATGCGTGAAGTGTTCGACTCATTTTGAGAGAGGCGAGCTTCGATTGCGTCGGGCTGGCACAAGGAACACTCGCCTCGTTCACCCGCAGTGCGCCCATGAAGTTGTGCGCGACACTTCTTCTGTGATAGGGTTCGGCGAGCTCCCGCTGGCAACGCGGCAACGCCTCGAGCGTGCTCTCGCCCATGCTGCAGTTGCTCACGGCCTTGCGGGCGACGTCCCTCAACCCCATTTTGAACCGCCTCCAGCTGAGGGAGAAGCCCTTCGTACGCTCCGGAACGACCTCCGGTACCTGGAACTCTGGGACGACATCGGCTGGGCACGAGTTCATGTCCGCCGGCCCCCTTGTGGGGCCACCAGGCTGCGAGGAGCGGGATTCGCAGTTTCCTGCACCAGTTGCAGCTTGTAGTTTCCAGTGTTACAATTCTGCTTATTGCTGGTTACTGTAACTAGCTGATTGACGGCGCGAGGGGGGGGGGGGGGGGAGACCCAAACTGGCTTTTTAGCACCCCCTGGGCGCGTTGTCTGAATTGCTGGGGGGGCTCGGAATCGACACCCCTCACGCAGATCCGCGGGGTCAAGGTCCAAAAAGACATAGGATTTTCCACTTTTCTGCAATTCGGTGCCACCCCTCACGCAGATCCGCGGGGTCAGGGTCCAAAAACACAAAGAATTTGCCACATTTCTTATATTCGGTGCCACCCCTCACGCAGATCCGCGGGGTCAGCGTCCAAAAACACGAAGAATTTGCCACATGTCTGAAATTCGGCTCCGCTCCTTACGCAGATCCGCGGGGTCAGGGTCCAAGAACACAAGTGATTTGCCACAATTCTGAAATTCGGTGCCACCACTCACGCAGATCCGCGGGGTCAGGGTCCAAAAACACAAAGGATTTGCCACATTTCTGAAATTCAGTGCCACCCCTGACGCAGATCCGCGGGGTCAGGGTCCAAAAACACACGCGATTTGCAACATTTCTGAAACTCGGTGCCACCCCTCACGCAGATCCGCAGGGTCAGGGTCCAAAAACACATGGGATTTGCCACATTTCTGATATTCGGTGCCACCCCTCACGCAGATCCGCGGTGTCAGGGTCCAAAAACACAGGGGAGTTGCCACATTTCTGAAATTCGGCGCCACCCCTTACGCAGATCCGCGGGGTCAGGGTCCAAAAACACAAGGGATTTGCCACGTTTCTGAATTCGGTGCCACCCTTCACGCACATCCATCGCAAGGCGTGGCAACCCAAACTGCGAGAACTCCCTCTGCCCTTTAATCGCAAGGTGTGGTAACCAAGCCCGTAAACCATACACGTCTTACCAATCGCCAGGTGTGGTAACCCCTCTTTTGATCAGTTGGTTTTGCTGATTGCGAGTCGGCTTCGAGTGAAGTTTCGATACTGCGGCTTCGAGTGAAGTTTCGATACTGCTTCACGACAGCGCCAAGACCTCATGACTTAGCCCTTCCATGGCCCATTCTCCGAGAGAGGGGGCCGGCGGCAGGGGGCGAAGCCCATACGGATTTGTCCTACACTTATCCGTAGCATCCCAGACCATTGGAAGAGCAGCATAGCGGAGGCCAAGCACGCCGTTGCTTCCGCGATCGGTTCTTTGCGAGGCCGAGTGGGCGACGCAGCTGGTGGCAAGCGCAGCCAACTGTGGAAGTTGTTTATGTCAATGGATGCCCTTCTGCTCCATCCCCGCCCAAGGCAGACGGGAGGCCGCCGTGGCCAAGGCAACCACACTTTAAACACAATTCTTGGCAGCCTTTCGCGCGCCTTCTGGGCCGGTGCCCGGCCGCAATTGTGGGTAGAACTGGAAGGCAACCTTGGACGAGCTTCGAGTTCCCTGGCCCAGTCCCGGTCCGCCGAGGCAGCGGCCGCTCGGGACGCGCAGGTCGTGGAGCACCTTCTGAACAACAAGGCGATTAGCAAGGCCCTCGGGCGCGTGCACTCCCCGCTCCGGTTTGCTCAGGGTGAGGATGCCCCGCAGCGCTTGCAGGACATGTTCCCCAAGCTTGCGCGCCCGCTCGCTCCCCAGAGCCCTCGCGAGGACGTCGCACCCGAGCTGAGGGATGAGCTCGCGCCCAACATCCGCTCTGCAGACGCGGCACTCCCCCTCGTGTGCGGGGCTGGCGCCAACGGGGCCTACTACGAACACCTTCAGGTGCGCGCCTACGTCCCGGGTGGCCCCAATGTTCTGGCGAACGTGCTTGCGGACCTGCTCGCGGGTGACGCTCCAGAAGAAGCCGCCCGAGCTTCGCGCAGCGGCCGCTGCCATTCGCCTTGAAACCAGGCTCCGATGTCGACGT